TTAGCAATAAATACCCCTTTCAAAAAAACCTAAGGATCCGTTTATTGGACCTCTTTATTGTAATGATTTTGTGAGGCCCCAAATGAAAAGCTTTGTTGTATGGGCTACCCTCCTTAAATATGGTTTTAACTATTTATTAGAATTTATAATACCAAAAAAAAAATAAGTAAATCCATATTAAATATAAATAAAAAATATTAATAAATATATTAATAGGTCCATGTTAACCAACTGAAAGGTTCGTGTTAAATTCACGCAGCAAGTTAGATAAACTTCAAGATCCAACATAGAGGGCGGCAAGCAGAGGAAGTTGCATTTGATTGTGTAATAAATGTAAACAAATAAGATATATTGTAGGTTTCAAGTATAAAAATAATTGTTATACCTCCTTGGTAGGTTTGGACCTGAAGCTGACAAGTGAGAAATAGGTAAAACTTTGGGGATCAATTAGTGGTTACTTTCAATCCTAACAAAGGCCTACCTAGGCCCGCTTACTACTAAAGTACGATTTACATGCCTAGCCTAGGCTAGGGGCCTAGGATGCCTTTCAATTACAAGGCTGGGCGCAGGGAGTTGGGATAGGACTACTGTAGGTAGAAGGCCCTCGTTATAGCTGTATAGATTTGTATCGTAGGGCTAGTCTAGGGGTAGGGCCCCTGCTATCTTGCATGCAAGTTTTCTAATTCTTATTCTCTCCACTAAGTTGCTACAAACAATCAATGATGCCAGAATACAGATCACCATGGACTTTACAGCAGGTTTGCCTTGAGGCGGTAGGCAGTAACATGGACTTCTGGTGCAAGGATTTTGCAGACAATTTTCAGGTCATGAAAGCTTTCAAGTACTTCATTGGACCATTTGATAACATAAGTGAGTAATTTCTTAAGCAAGATAAGAAAAAAGCAAATTAATAATCAATGTCTGTCATCACAACTGTAAAACATAATTCTTTCACATTTCATGAATCATGATCAAGGAGGTTTTAACTTTTAGGGCACATAGAAAAAAATTATTAGATTATCACTCTTTTTTTTTTAAATTGATGAGGGAGATTTTTTTTTTTAAACTGGTTTAATTATGTAGTTTTTTAAAGAAAATGTATTTGAAGTCACAAAATTGCATTGTTATTTTTATGCTGTTGAAATAATTGATGCGGCAATATTTCCTGATTTTTTGACGCGGGCGGGAGTGATAATCTAATAAATTTTTCTATTTGCCCTTACCTCCTTGTAAATTGTATCTGCTTTCCCCTTTTCATAGATCAATATTGTATATTTACTTTAAATAGCTTTTTGTTAATAAAGTTTTTTTTTTTATTTTGGTATATGTCAGGCCTGATGTTACCATTGACAAGAGGCGGCCATAATAATTAATATTTGGTTTAATTAATTTATAAGTTTAATATGAGTATATAATAATTGGAGTAATTCATGCATGTTTAAAAAACAATATTTTTTAATGATTTCTTTCAAAGGTTCAGTTGTCTGCGAGGTGTTGTTAGAGCATTTGATTGGTCAACGCAATTTAAAACGACCATATTTGTATTTATTGATAAATCCTAGTCTTGTGAATCTCAACCTTAGCGGATGTCCTCATCTAGTGAAAGATGACATCATTAATGCAGTACTTACGAGGTGCAAGGTATGTCAAAGCTACTGTCAGTGTGTAATCAATAATATATGATTATTGAGTTTTTGTTTCTAGAGCTTTTACAACACCAAACAACAAATGCTTACAGAATGTGCAACCTCATCTGCCCCTTGGGTTCCTTGGGGGTTCCTTGGGTGCCCCTTGAGTTCCTTGGGTCCCCCTTGTGTAGTGGTGCCAGTTTCACAGAAGGGTATGTGCACATACCACAACATTTATTCAGTAGATAAAACATCTGTCCATATACACATTTTTCCACTGGGCACTATCAGAAAGAAGGCCCCATCAAACAGGTCAAATGCACCACGGCTCCAACCCCACCATGCCATCACCCAAGCCCTAAACCCTCCACCAAAAAATTGTAAGGCCTCCAAACAAATGTACTTATATTCTGGAGCTACTACTTCCTCTAGGTGGGGACAAATGTTTAAGTACTTAAAATTTTTAAGAAGCATTACTAGGTGGGTTGTGTCCTAAACATCATTGTGATTATGTATCACTTTTTCATTCATCCAAAGATATCTACAATTATGCTAAAAGTGGTTTCCTTTGAATTTCAGAATCTCAAGTCTATAAATCTCAGTGGATGTACACAAGTGAAGAAGGAAATAATAGTTACCCTTGCAGAGGCATATCCTAATCTTGTTTCACTAGATCTTAGTGGGACAAAGTGTGTAAAAATGGCAGCTAGGGCAGTTTTTAAAAACTGCACAAATCTTAAAGAACTTTTTCTATCACACTGCCGGATATATGATGATGATCTGTCCATACTAATTGACAGCGTGAATAATAAAGGAACTCATAAAAACCTTCGAAGATTTGATCTCTACTATACAGGTGTATCGTGTAATGGTTTAGCTTTGGTTGTCCGTAGCCTTCCATGGGTTACAATACTAAAACACCAGGACTTGGTGAAGTGTCTTAGTGCTGTGTATGATGAGCTAATCCAGGCTGGACAGGGAGGTTGCAAACCAGAGAAGGATGTTTACGAAGCAGAACAGAGCAGTTGCAATACAGGGCACAAAACCTTTAACTTTAGATCATTAACTATACACGAACATACACACACATCCAGCAGAGTTCTAAGTAATTGTTTTATGCTATGCCCCCACCTTGTGAAGGTCGAGGTTCTCGAGGTTTATGGTTACGATAACAAGTGCTTTTACGAGATGGGAAGCTTGTCTATGCTACAAGATTTGAAGATTATTTGCAACAGAAACTGCAATGTAGACTTCGTGGGTTTACTACAGGCATTGAAAAAAATTGGCTCAAATCTAAAGCACTTAGCTCTTGCGGATATTGAGGGACTAAATCCTCTAAAAATAGCCCAGTTATGTCCAAATCTCATAGAGCTGTACTTAACTTGCTACGACTCCAAAATATCATTCCACGGAGAACTAGATGAGGACTGCCCATCACAAAAAATTTGTTTACCAAAATTAAAAATGTTAACTGTCGGGGGAAATGGATTGGCTCCACGAAATATCACACAACCAGTGCTAACCAGATTTTTATGCGCATGTTGTGTTGTTGAGAAGTTAAAGCTGGTTCAACTCAGTGAACTAACGGACACTGTTTTAAATGACATGTTCAAAGTCAATGAAATGCCATGCTTAACATCTTTAGATGTGTCCTGTTGTCAAAACATTACAAGTAACAGTTTAGACAAGCTGATCTTATCTCAGACCAATAAACTCAGTTCGGTTAAAATCATAGACTGCTGGAATATAACACAAAGAGATTATTCAAATTGGTTAGCAACTAGCAAAGAGAACAATAGCAGTTTGAAAATTGATTGGTCTTAAAAATTGGCTGGGCTTCAAAAATATATTTAAATTATGTTCAAATAATGCAAATTATATACAGACTACATAGATTCCAGGCATTTGATTAGTTAAAAGCCAGGTAATATTTCCAGCCATGCCTCTGAGCCGGTCAATAGTGCCTACAATCTAGGTAGATGTACATAAAACAGATATTTTAACTCAACTTCGTCTCGGGACAGCCTGCAAATCATTATTTTAATAATTGATAAGGCATTTATCATTAATTTTATTAACTTACCTAGTGACTTTAAATTTGTCTATGTATTATAACTAAATACAATGTTTTCTGTCTTTGTTTTAGATTAATCTTTCTATCATATTTGCAATTAAGTCATTATCAATTTTATTAATGCAACTTCTTAATATTTTATATACTTTAAGCTAATTGTATTGCAAAATAGGCTGTTAAATCCTCCTGATATGTTTATATTCCTGTAAATTATGTTCAATAAATAAATAAATAAATCACCTCGTGCTATAATTTGATCCATGTCCCTAAACTCAA